ACATTTCAAAAACTGCCAAAGAGTTAAAACACCAAACAGCTGAAAAAGCAGGTAAATGGATTCCGATCAAAGATGCAAACACAAAGCACGACCCAGCTGCACATACACGGACACGCAGTCAGTGCTGAAAGCCGACAACTCAAAGATCCTGAAGCTGCAGGTTTTGTCACTCGGACCAAAATTTGCTGAACCAGCAGCAAAAGAAGATCAAAACTACGCTTCCCATTTGAAAAACATTGTCATGAATTCTCTCTTACTTTTGCCGTTTTGCATCCATCACGGTTAAAAATCACACTTCCTGCACAGTGCTCTCTCGCTCAGTGTACTTCAAGACCAGTTTGCCATCAAAAATCTGTTTTCTGTATTATTTGTTCACTTATTATGCACCAGTCTGTGTTCACTGCTGTTTTTTTTTTAAATGATGGATATGACTTTGTGGGGATAGGTTAATTGACAAATCTAAATTGCCCATAGGTGTGAATGCGGGAGTGAATGTGAGTGCGAATGGTTGTCTGTCCCTGTGTGTTGGCCCTGTGACAGACTGGCGACCTGTCCAGGGTGTACCCCGCCTCTCGCCCTATGATAGCTGGGATAGGCTCCAGCACCCCCCGCGACCCTGAAAAGGATAAGCGGAAGCGAATGGATGGGTGGATATGTACTGATAAACGATTTGAATTATAATATTTCTGACTGAGTCAAAATTGAATTCCACTTGAAGATCGAATTGAATCAGGACCTTGTGAATCAGAATTGAATCGGTTATAGACATCAAGTGACCCAGCCCTAATAGTACCTGCTGGTCTGGTTATCATTGGTGCCATCGGTCAGGTACAGTAGTAAACGTCTCTCCAGGTAGGACTCTATGTTCTCCCCTTCGTGGTAGTCGCCATGTCCGTTGAGCAGATCTGTCACTTCCGTGCTCAGCAGAACTGCTTCAAAGTCCCCTTCCATAAGGGACTCCAGCAGAGGGCCTGCCTCTGGAAGACAATATGTTTGGAGAAGTGAAGTTTACCGTTTGGTTTCTGTAACTAAAATAATGCTGTGTACTGCAGTTAAGGAAATTTGGATCAAGTACATGAATGACGATCCCAATATTGCCAGGAAATATCATACATTGCTTTAATACGGCATGTTGTGAATAAGAACAGACTTTTGTTTACTGCCAAAAGAAAATAACATGTTTAGTGTCGCTGCTTCTTAGTCTAGAAAAGACTCATTTGCACTCTTACGGAAAACTCTCATACCCCAAGGACCAAAGAACATTATACCAACACAGTATTGACCATCTCATAACAATTACATTGTTTCAATGTTTACAAAAAAAAAGCCTAGTGACTGGTGCAATCATAGACAGGCAAAAAAGGAGTGTGTGTGTGTGTGTGTGTGTGTGCGCGCGTGCGCGCTAGAACAAGTCTTTAGCAGTAATTGCAGTTCTAGAGTTTCAGATGTCTGTAAAACATCTGAACTGCCATCTTCGGGTCTTTCCATCAGTGTTCTGTGGCGCTGAGTCCGTGTTTTGACGGAGTCCGTTGCAAACTTCTGCTGAAGAAGCTCCATTGTGGTTCTGGTAATTTGCTATGTGGTGTTGAACTCTAAACCATCACGCCAGCCTTTGGTAACTGGTTAGACCTGAAAGATCAATGCCTTGGACACTCACTGCTCAAAAGGATATTCCAACGGATAAGAGGGTTTTTTTAGGCCAGTACTGATATTAATACTTGCAGTTGTCAAGCTGTCAGATGATGTCAAACACTGTTTGACTTCTTTTGCAGCAAACAAAGAAACAGGTAACACCTTTTATGCAATGGCAATTTTATTTATGGGTTGCATTTCATGACACAAATTCACAAATTCACTGTACTTAACATAAATGACAGAAACAAAACTATGTAGATCTGCTATACCCAAATGCAAAAAACAAAAAAACAATTGCTACAAAGAAAGTGTAGTTTAAGTTTGTGTGTAAAGCTGAATCGATTGGTCTGATTTTTTGTTTTTAAATCCTGTCTGGTCTGGCAGCTTTTGCAATCAGAACTGTGATCTGACTGCACTGTGGCACCAAACACATTTTGCTCTCTATAATGAGTCTTTTCTTTAAACCCCTTAAAAGAACAAGAAAGCTTTGCTTTGCAAAATCTAGCTGTATAACAATGTAAACAGGGACAAAGTTTGATTTTGAAACAATGACCAAGCCCAAGTTGTCATCAGTGGTGCTAATGCACTTATTTCCACTGTAGCCGTATTCTGCTATAAACAATCCCCTACCTATACTGCATACAGTGTGTATTTACCTTGCTCATGCTCCAAAACCACCGTACACTTGTGAGATAAAGAGGACATGCTGAAAAGGCTGATACCGAGATGATGAGAAATGTCGATTTATTGAAAGACACAGGGCAGCTGCTGGGCCACCGCTTGCCAACAAGAAATAATTGTGTTGCCCGAGTGCTCCGTTCAACATCTCCCCGTCTTTCATTAGCTTTTTATTTGAGCGGGGAGACTGGCTTGGCTCATTAGCATTGATTACTTTGTGTTACCCTGGTGGAGGGAATAGAGGGGAGGAAGTAGATTGTGCTCTGAGCTGCATAACAAAGCCTGGCCAAGTTGAGAAACAGACAAGATTGTCTCCATCACAAACCAGGTGTGGACAACAAATAACCTAAACACTAATAACAGATGTGTCATGTCAGAGAACCTGTGCCAGCTTCACTGCTCTCTACAACCATTTTTCTTTCTTTTCTTTTTTTAAATAAATAAATAAAATATCTCTATATCCAAAAGAGGTTTGCTTAGTTGATTTCCAGACAGCTGTTAGAAACAATAAGACGATGCATCCCCCTTACCAATGACACGCATCCTTGAATCCAAACACCATAGTTTTGTCAAAGATGGAAAACTATTTTCATGTAGGAGTGTGAGCCTATCCCACATGCCCACATCCACAGGTCAGTCACATGGTCGCTCAACTGTCCCCTTGGCTTTAATAAATGCTTGCAGTGTGACTGGTGCTGTAAAAGAGGTGTGGAGATTTTCATCTGACTGCCGATCTAATGAAACCCAGGGGCTGCCATAGTAGCGCAGTGAGGTGTGAGGGAGAAGACGGGAGGAGGAAGTCTCTGGCTTTATGAGGGGAAAATGAAAGCCTGAGGTATGGCCACATGTTTAATGACATTTCAACTACTCTTCAGGTCTACTGTTGAAATGGCAGCAATTATGGAAAACAAGGTAGGGGCCCTCAAATTAGTCCATAATTCATAAACGTTCAGGCATTGAGCTGCAGTTAATAAGGAAATGGTGAACAGAATTTGCAAAAGCGTACAGGGCTGAGAAGCAATATAGATTCAAGATGAAAGATCAGGAATAGCTCACATGGGAACCCCAATTTCTCTGTGAAAAACTAAAAAATGCACACAGTCACGGGCTGCTTGTCTTTCTTGAAGCAGGGCTGTCCATACAGCTTCGATAATCTGCATAAAAGCTCAATCAGCTGCATTAGCCTGGCTTTAATTCTGAGTGTTATGTTCTACGATCATTTACACCCTACACCACCTCTGATACGACACACTTTTGGGAAATAATGCAGAAGAAGATGTCAGTTCATCATAAATCTTGCCACAACACTTCCATGGTAATAGGTCGAGGGGATATAAGAACAATGGTTTATGAAATATTACCTGCCAAGAAAGTCAAACAATCTCATTTGGCTCGACACAAGCGGTGTCAAATTAACTTACTCCTATAAATTCTCACATAAAAAAAACAATCTAATGTTTCAGATGAAACCAAGATTGACTTGTACCAGAGTGGTGAAAAGTATGGAGTAGCTACACAAGTTTGGAAAAGGGAAGGGAGAGCTTATAATTTGTCATCTGGCAAAGTTATTGCATGGACATGTATGTCTGCCAATGGAGCCAGGCCAGTAGTGTTTCTTGCTGATACGACTGTTGAAGTACAAAGGGCTATGCTCTCTAATGAGATTTAGCCAACTGCTGCAAAACTGATGGGATGCCACCTCACAGTGCAGATAGATAATGAACCAGAACATATTGCAAAAGCAACCCTAGAGTTTCTCAGGGCAAAGAAATGGGATATTCTTCACTGGCCAAGTCAGTTAGCTAATCTCAGAAACTAAAGACTGCAGCCGTCTTTAGTTTCTGCCTGCTAGAGCTATCCAAATCTTGCAGTAAATTATTTTTCAAATGATGTTATTTTGTCCAATTAATTTTATCCCCCTGTGAATGGAGGACGATGCATAAAACTGTTATAAATACAATACTTTGGCTTAACCCCTTGAATTAAAGATGAAAGCCTATACATATATGGTTTCATTTCAAATTCACTGTATTAGTATTAAGCATTCTTTTGTTGAACTGTGATTTACATGGTTTTGCAACTGAATAATTGCCAATAGGTCTTGTTTATTCATCCAAACCAATAAATGACACCAAACATGAGCCAACAGAATAGCCAATTTCACATTGGCAAGTTTTTCTTAAGTTAGCAGAGTTGATTTTTTCATTTTTAGTTGTGCTGCACATGCATTTTCCTTACTACGGGGAAATACGCAGGGTTTCCAGCAGTATATGATTTACTGCCAAGAAGCATTGTTACAACAAAGACATAATTAACCAAACACAAATTTCCTTACTTTTTGTGCTAAGTTTATAAAGAAATCAGGGGTGGCTCAAGATTTATGCACAGTATTGTAGCTTGCAAACTATTTTGCAAACATCTTAAACTGTTAGATGAACATGTTAGCTAAATGTAGCTGCTATGTTCATTTCTTCTTATAGTTCTCTCTTTCTCTTATAGTACAAATAATAACACTACGGTCGGACATGCGACTGTTTTACGCTTCGGTTTGTTAGCAACAACGACGTTAAAACCATCGTGTGGCTCCGCCGTCCACTTGTTTATTTTCCGCATCAACCTTTCACAATAAAGCTCAACAACCTGTTGAGACTTTCCAAAATAAACTGAAATGATAACAATATACATTATTCTCAAACATCAAATTTCATCAAAAAAATTACCTCAAATGAAAACATGAAGTAACTACAAACGGCACTTACACTAAACATAACTGATAATGTAGTTGTTGAATAAAAGTATGCAGTTTCAATTTAAAGTATCAAAGAGTGGCAGTTAAACTTAGGTAAGAGTACAAAAAACTGTTACCTGAATACCTGTACAATAAAACAGTGGATCGGGTAAACAGAAAGACCTCTCGATCTGATACGAATAACAAGTTTTTAAGAACAAATTTTTAACAAGTCCATCTGTACAAGTACGTACATCAAATGAAGCACATCAAATAAAAAAAAAGAGAGAGAGCAGTGCCTGCGGTTTTTTGCACCAAATTAATTACATCTTCAAATGTGATTCATCACATGAAACCATCGACAGACTTTTCTTACCAACAGCATGAACACATCTCGCAATGACAGTGCAGGAAGGAAACTGTTTTTTTGTATTCATACCTGGATAACATATAAAGATCATGACAAACAAATTTGTGGCACTGATGCAGTTTTTCAGCTACATTTACTGATTTTCCATCTATGTTTTTTTGTGTGAAAAAACCCAAAATAAACTGCATATGTAAGCAAGCAGATGCAGTGGTGTACAGAGGACTTTTCATTCTTTGTACTGTAGAGCACCTTAGATGCAGCAAACTACAAAAACTCTAGAGCCAGCTATGAAGAAAAGGTGTCTGATGACGTTAAATGGAGAGAGAAAAAGTATCTCTTTCAAGGACAAAACAGAAACCAGTATGACTGTTTCGGGATCTTGCAAAAGATCACAGCACTTAACCATGCCACTCAACCAACAAAGCCCATAAGAAGACAGTGTGGATGTCAGAGAGATGGACGATGCCTGCACACATCCTGGCACATAGAGCACCTTAGCAGAGCGCATCGAACCATTTACAGCCCGAGAACAACAGTGGTGTCACTCACTGTGAGCTGTGTCCAATTTAAAGACGTATCCGTTTCATTTTCAACATAGAAAACGTGTCACACCGAAATCAAATGAGGTACAGGTCATTAAGTACTTACCTGGCTACAGTGGGACCCTGTAATAAAGAGCCATCTCTCGTTTCCTTCATTGTTTTAGGCTACTTTATTCTACAGCCTCCCAGTATAACAGAGCATCTGGGGTAAAGTCTGACTATTGCTATGCAGTCCAAAGCTAATGCTTTCCTAAATATTTCAATCTGGCCATTTTATTTATTTCAACAGAAAAAAAAATGACTATCATGTTACCTTTAAACTGACAGTGAAAGGCTCTTTCATTCTTATAAGAAATTGTCTTCCAAGAACTGGATAATAGATTTACAGCTAGTTGCTGAATATTGTGCTTTAAGACTTCAATTTTCGTCCCTACCTTAAGTTTCTTTCATATCTCCACTGACAAATCACTCCAGTTTAATTAAATGCTAATGCACTGTCAATTACTGCGGCAGAAATAAGACGTGGTCTAGGAACAAACCGTACTGAAGTCACACTAGAGACGGGTTATCCAGCAGGAATCTCGCAGTCTGGCCATTTAAAGCCTGCTGGTAACAAAGAGAGCCCCAGTTAAACAGACAGCACTGTTTAATACAGGATGTCTACCATTGGGGCTTTCTGGCAGTTGTGGATTAGTTTCAGGGTTCTAAACGCAGCTGACAGATGCGGCTCGAGTCGACTGGACAAAGGTGTATGGAAAGAAGACGTCATGCTAGACTCTAATGATAAAAACTACCAGGAAAAAAAGAAACAACCACGCTAGCTTTAGTTCATAGCTTTTCAACATAACCATCTAGTTTCCGTCCAGCTACGTCTCCGGTGAACATTGGGACAACTGGGCGAACTAAAGCTAACGTTAGCTAATGTTTAATTTCTTTTAAATCGACTTCATCATTTACTGAAAATCAATCCCAGTATAAGATTAACGCCGAATAGCATAGTTACATACCACATTTTAAATCGCTTTACAATATTACAAGACGCAATAGCTACCGCTGCCCACAAGCAATGCAAGTTTTTACTGCCAAAAAAATAAACGGGATTTGGTGTGGCATCCACCAGAGCGCGAATGACACGTACCGTAGCTAAGTTTGCTTAGCAGACATTACATGAACATGAACTCATTTAGACTGTTGCTCTAGCACTCAACACTTTTATTAAGACAACTCAGGAAGTCCTGTCAATACCGTTAAATATTAGACCAGAGCTGTTACCGTCAAATGCTTCTACATTTTAAATGTGCCTTCGCTTGGCAGGCAAGCACAACCTGACAGCTTTGAGAACCTGAGACCAAACTAACCTCGTTATGACAGTGTCAATAGCTACGTGGTGAATAAAGGAGCAGAATCAAGCGGCTGCCTCACCTGCAATACTGAAAATGTTCTGCTTCCATTCCGCTGTTTCACCGGCAGTTAAAAACCCTCGGAGTGCTGCGATCTCCACGTCTAGCGGCGGCATGACTGAACGGATTTGGTTCTTGCCAAAGTCAAGCTGGAGCTGCTGCCTTCAGTCAGGACGGTCCCAGATAAAAGCCAGCTATAAAGCGGTGTGCTAACGAGCCGATTCGGAGCGTCTCAATCAGTGATAAAATGTTTATTTCTGCCCATGTGGAGCAAGCGGAATCAGTGAGCAGCCATGACAGAACCGCGTTGCATTGTGGGAAAATTAATCAAGGCGCGCACACAGAGATGCAGAGCATTTCCAGTCTGCACATGGCCCGGGGATGTGGAGGAGTCTGGGTTTTTTTTTTCTTTGGTCCTTTCGTGCTGTTCGCAAACTGATTAACCTAATCACACTGACAACAATGAAATAACATAAAATAATAAAATACAGGATAAGGATGGGGCTTATTGTATGTTTATAAACAGGAAAATTAATTTACATCTATGAATGATTACGTCAACCATCGACTGTCTTAAAATAAGTGTGCTATACTGCACTCCTCAACCAAACATGGTCCACCCCCTTTGAGTAAATTTGTATTTAAGAATATAGTTCATCAAATATCATTCCCACAGTAAAGAAGGTTTCACAACTTTCACTGTGGTTGGATACTTACTTTTTTACCTATACACGTATATGATGTGCACCTAACAAAAACGCAAAAAATGACATTCGGAAAAGAGGTGAATTTGTAGGCTCAACTAATTCACCTGGCTTGAAATCCCATTACTTGAGTAGATTTAGCCGACATTAAACTTTGATATAGTCCATAAATACAGTAAACTTGACTTCATAAGTTAATGTGTCAATAGTTAAGTGTCAATTTAGTAATATAAGATTGATATTGTAAACATCATAATTTGGAAATATCAAAAATAATTATATTTCACCTTTACAAATTAGATGTTATTATGGTGAAATTAATTATCCCTTATACATCAGGTGTTACAGATGCATGGATACAAAAAAAAACGTCAAAAAATTATATTTTGTACCTGTCAAACTGTCTTGTCTTGGCATTTACATGTATTCAACTAAAGAAATAAGAATAAATTGTTTAGAATAAATGAATTATTTATTAAGTTGTCAAACATTTAAAAGAACAGAATTGTACAATAACTCAACTCACAATATCTCACAACAAATCATCTCAATACTTTTTTAAAATAAAAATAAATAAAAATATAGTCTATAAAGGATGTCACACTGGTGCCAAAAAATAAGGAGAAAAATGTGTTTTTAAGTATAATTTTATTTTTTAATAAAAATGTAAATGTCCTACCTGTGCAGATAGATCCATGGATATATGCATTATTCCATTTATGTATTGCTATTAACCACTTCTCTGTTTTAATCTGGTTTTAGGTTTGCGTAAAAGCATCTGGTTAGATGACTGACTTGATGTTGCTAAGACAGTTTAACAGAGGTCTCCATGGATCTCTTCTGTTCAGCTGAATGAGCATACACATCCGGAAGTCAAGATCAAAGCAGTGGAAAGAAATACTTTGTTTTCTAAAGATAGAACCTAGAGGCAAGTTATACAATGAAAAGAAGTGGGCCCAGAATGGACCTTTGAGTCACTCCACAAGTGAGTGGTGCTGTTGTAGAAGTGCAGAGAAACTTCTGTTCGTCAGGTATGATTTGAACCAAGTCTGAACTGTGCCTTGGATTCCACCTTCATGTTCTAGATGAGACAGAAGGGTCTTGTGGTCCACAGTCTCAAAGGCAGCTGACAGACAGAAGCACTAGAACTGCAGGGCTAGTAGAGTAAACGATTTAAAGAAGATCATTAAAAACTCTCAAAACAAGCAGTCTCTGTTCTGTGCTATGATATGATCTAGAACCTGTAAGCTTAAAAATTAATTGATTTGGTTTAAAACAACTTTTATAAGAACCTTAGACAGAAATGATAATTTAGATATAGGTCTGTAGTTTGAAAGATCAGCAGGGTCTAGGTTCTTCTTTTTAATAAGTGATTGCAAAACAACATGTTTAAAGGCAGCTGGAATACAACCAGATGCAAGAGAATTGTTTATCAGAGCAAGTATAGTTGGTCCTGTTGAGTCAAACGGCGAACACCGTCTGATAGAGAATATAAAGATCTTACATCCTGAACCATCTCCTTTAGAGGACGGACTCACAGGCTCAAACTGCTCAAGCTTTGCTGAGAGGAGGTACAGACGGGAGTGCTTCAGCCTGAGATGATGAAGGTCTGAGAGCAGAATTTTTTTCCACAAAAAATTTGCAAAAAGAGTTTTCACAAAGTGCAGGACAGAGCACAGCATCACAGCGGGATTAACTATTGAATTCAACACTTTAAAGAGAAAATGAGGCCCATATCTGACAAGTAAACAGACTTTGCATATTTGACTGATTACTGATACTTTGAAAACAATATAATACGTAGGCTTTCTAATGAGACCCAGAGCTTGTCCTTTTTTTACGAGTTTGGAGACAAGCAAAGGATTTTTCTTGTATTACAGTATGATACCTTTTCCTGCATGAGAATCTTTTCTCCGCAGCTTCCACAAAAGTCATGTTATTTTCCAAAAACTATCAAAGACCGTGATTATGTACTGTTATGGAAATTATGACAACCACCTGCAACACACCCAGTAATTGTAATTTGAAGTGGGTTTAATAAACATATTGCAATGTGGAGAGAAAAATGCTAGCCAAACACTAGGATCATCTCTGAAATTTGGCCACCGCCCTCACATCTTATCTACCCACACAGACATTCAAACAAAGAACATTCCACAGCACATCACGTATCCCTATACCTTCAGTCCAGCCCATCCTTGACCCCCTCCCACTCTAAGAAAAGTTACGACCACCGATCACCTCCCTTGAGCAGGGTACCTGGATGTCTTCAACTTACTATAGGCTCTCTGTGAAGGTGCAATAACATTGCAGGCCCACTTGTGATAACATTCTACATGCATGCATACAACTGGTGAAAGGAGTGATCTTGCTGTACTAAAGTGAGGAAGTGGTGGAATAGAATAGAATAGAATAGTATGTCTTCATTGTCACTATACAGTTGTACAATGAGATATAGAGCATCTCCAACTCAATGCAAACATCATGTACATCATGTACAGATATATAATCCGGTGTAAAAAAGTAAATATGTAAATAAATAGTGTTATGTATAATACAGTACGGGTTATTGCTCACAGAATTTGGTATTACACAGTGTTGATGCCTCGGCATCTCAACTCAACTCTCTCCTGCTTACTCTCCCGCTCCTTCACTGACACACACACACTTTTGAAATGTGCTCTAGCACAACCAAAGTCTAGTTTAAGCATATTTAGTTATCCTACAGACAGCCAAGTGTGAGTATGCCCAGAGTAGAGAGTCCAGCATATGAAGTGCAAACCAAAAAGCCTGTTAAAGTGGAAATGGGTATCCCCTTAATGCCTGGTGTATCATATTTGATATTCACAGTTTTCTGCATGAGCTGTGTGTTTTTCTCCCCTGAAAAAACAAAATAAATTTCACAATACATTTTAAGCAATTTTAAAAAATGGCAGATGTAGCAAATATGATACAAATTAAATTTTTTATATGGAAATTAAAATGTTATGTCCTTGGTGGCAGAGCCCCTGGTGTGGATGAGGTCCGCCCCGAGTTCCTGAAGGCTCTGGACGTTGTAGGGCTGTCCTGGTTGACACGCCTCTACAATGTTGCGTGGAGATCAGGGGCAGTACCCCTGGACTGGCAGACCGGGGTGGTGGTCCCATCTTTAAGAAGGGGGACCAGAGGGTGTGTTCCAACTACAGGGGGATCACACTCCTCAGCCTCCCTGGGAAAGTCTATGCCAGGGTGCTGGGAAAGGAGAGTTCGTCCGCTAGTCGAACCTCGGATACAGGAGGAACAATGCGGTTTTCGTCCTGGTCGCGGAACACTGGACCAGCTCTTTATCCTCTCCAGGATACTTGAGGGCGCATGGGAGTTTGCCCAACCAGTCTACATGTGTTTTGTGGACTTGGAGAAGGCATTCGACCGTGTCCCTCGGGGTGTCCTGTGGGAGGTGTTGCGGGAGTATGGGGTGTCTGGCCCATTGTTACGGGCCATTCGATCCCTATACAACCGTTGCAAGAGCTTGGTTCGCATTGCCGGCAATAAGTCGGACTCGTTCCCGGTGGGTAATGGGCTCCGCCAGGGCTGCCCTTTGTCTCCGGTTCTGTTCATAATTTTTATGGACAGGATTTCTAGGCGCAGCCAAGTGGCGGAGGGCTTTCGCTTTGGTGGCCTCAGAATCTCATCTCTGATTTTTGCGGATGATGTGGTTCTGTTGGCTTCATCGGGTGAAGGCCTCCAGCTCGCACTGGAACGGTTCGCAGCCGAGTGTGAAGGAGCGGGAATGAGGATCAGCACCTCCAAATCTGAGGCCATGGTTCTCAGCCGGAAAAGGGTGGAGAGCCCACTCTGGGTCGGGGATGAGTTCCTGCCCCAAGTGGAGGAGTTCAAGTATCTCAGGGTTTTGTTCGCAAGTGATGGGAGAAGGGAGGGGAGGGGGCTCAGAGTAGAGCCGCTGCTGCTCCACATCGAAAGGAGCCAGTTGAGGTGGTTTGGGCATTTGACAAGGATGCCTCCTGGGCGCCTCCTGGGCGAGGTGTTCCGGGCATGTCCCACAGGGAGGAGGCCCCGGGGCAGACCCAGGACACGCTGGAGAGATTATATCTCTCGGCTGGCCTGGGAACGCCTTGGTGTTCCCCCGGATAAGCTGGAGGAGGTGGCTGGGGAGAGGGAGGTCTTGGCTTCTCTGCTTAGGCTGCTGCCCCTGCGACTCGGCCCCGGATAAAGCAGAAGAAGATGGATGGATGGATGGAAAATGTTATTAATTTTTTAAACAAATTCATCTGATGGTTCGATAAACTCTCCATTTTTAGAAAATAAGAATATGAAAATAAGCAATCATTTAATGATTCAGGCTTTAAAGTGCTATAAAACCTAGAATTACCAAGACTATACTGATGCAGGCATTTTGTTATAAATGATAACAACAAAGATCAAAAACAAACAAAAAAAATAAATGGGAGAATTGAAAGAAATAGGAAAGTTTTCCAAAAAGTAATGGATAAAAATGCATCCACCTGTGGGTGGTTGTAGCTTAGGAGGTGGAGCGGGTATCTACTAAGGTTGGTTGTTCGACTACTGGCTGCTCAAGTCTGCATGCTTAAGTATTCTTGGGCAAGATACCGAACCCCAAATTGTTCTCCAATGTGC